ATTAATTAATTAGGTATGAAAATAATTGTAAATATATTTAACAGCTTAATTACTCATTAGGCACTCAATGCAAAACAAATATATTTTTCAGTGAATTGTTTGACAAGATTATGAACAAGGAAGTTCACATCATATTAAAAAACCCATAAAATCGATATTTGTACTCTTTCGAGTCGATGAATCATAATAAACGGTGGGTAGGTACTGGATAATGACTTTGACTTATAGAGAAATCCGACCAACCGAAATAAATTAATTGGTAAGTCCAACGCTGAATGATCGATAATGAACAAAAAATTTGATGCACCTACAGAAACTTCGAGATACAAAAACTCGAGATAGCGAGAGACCACTGTATATTTGCAATAACGGTGTCTATAAAATTGCTTAATTTGGTTTCTTATACTCGGCCTGAAAAAATAAAAATTCTACAATTGCATTAATGTTTTGACAAGTTTATCACCAATTATGTAAATAATATATAATAGTATAAAGAAAGTTATAGCGATAAACATAATAGAACTAAGATAATAAAACATTTTTAATAAGACGATATGTACCTAACTTTTTGAACTCAATTAGGTATCCTACTTAGAAGTTAAAACTTACATTTTAGGACTTAATATTTATATATTCATCGAATTATAATATAGTAATTAGTATTTTTAATTATTTAATAACACGTTAAAAAGCAAAGATTATAGACTATAGTATTAGTATTTCGACGAAGTTTCTATATTAGTTTACCGAAAAATGATAGGTTTGTAGTCTACATAATTTATTATTAGGATTTTCTACTTCGATAAAGTATTATATTTTACGTCATTATTAAACTTTGAAAATATAATATAATTTCCATATGCAATAGATATTACTTTTTGTCCAAACTCTAATGATGTAAAATAATGACGAAATATAAAAGAAAAAATTTGTCATTAGCTTGAAATCAAAAATATAAAAGTCAAAGGAAATTATAATAACATAAAAACCTGTTTTAGTTATACGTTAAACTTATAACCCATATTGATTCAGTTTGTGTTGATATGACAAGTATAAAATAATTTAGATTAGGTTTTTTTTTTTTTGGACTTCATTTGTGTTAATGACTATCAATTAATTTATAAAAGAATAGTTTCTCTTCAGAATAATGTTTTGTTAAAAATTTTAGATTATATTAAACAGTAACTTACTGAAAACGAAAACACTACGCATAACAGCTTAATATTACTATAAGCCGAGGTCTTTACTATGTCAGTTTTCATAAACATATTATATTACCCCTCGACAAGCACACCAGCTAAAATACTTCTTAAGTACACTTCTTTAACAGCCTCTTACCTAAACTTTAAAACTCACATATTAGGTGACTGTGACGTAAATACTTAACGAAAATCAGAAACCCCACTTTTAAAATATATTTACATAAATTGACTGTATTATGTTATAAAATAATATTATATTATATTATGCGTTTTAATGTTTTAATTTTTCAGCTTAGGTAATAAGAAAAAAAATATTTATATACTCTTTTGCAGTAATAGTTTTACGAAATCTTGTTCCAAAATTATTTATCAGGAACGATAGACATTTACTTTAGACAAACACGATGAGATGTGCTGTGCACACATGGGTCGTGTACTATAATACTATATTTTATAAACGACTGGATTTTATAATACGCTGTGGAATATTATTATAATATTTATGTCATGGCAAATATATTATGACGTGTAGCGTTCACGAGGTGCATAATTATTATGTATTATTATGACATGGGAAAAATCCGAGGATGAGCATAAATTAAGAACGTGATGAAAAGTAGAAGGAGTCTGTAAATATTTCCAAGGCACTGTCGTACCTACATATTGTTTCGGCACATCAGGAATATATCTACAAATAATTATGATTTATATAGGAAGATACCTACGTAAAATGATGCTGCAAAACTTTCTGGCCCGAGACGACGACATTAATAATATCGTGTCATACATTCGACATAAATATATATTATGATATTTATAAGCACTCGATTTTCTTTTGTTTGAATCCGGACCCGGGGCGTTTATTTATTACCATATTTCGTTTAACGACGAAATAAAACCAATACTCTCGCCCATTTTCGACCTCATGAACGTTATGTTTTAATCTTTGAACGAATCAATCGTCGAATGACTCAAAAAAATATGTTGAACAACCTTATTTCGGTCACACGCCAAACACTTAACCCATTTTTTTTATTTATTTTTTTTTTATGAAATCTCAGATTGCACACAGTAAAAAAATAAAAATAATAATTACACAATAAAAATTTATAGTGTTCGTTTTTCGTTTTTTTTTCTACAAAAATCCGAATGACTATTAGACGTTATTACGCGTGCCTATTACTCATGAAATCCGTTGCGCCCATTACAATATAATATTTTCATAATTAATTTTCATACCGGCTATAGTAGGTATATACCACATATACCTGCATCGTTTATTACCTCGTTGTCGTACATACAGTATAATATGATGTGCATGTTCGTGGGTGTACGCGTTATATAATAAAACATGTTGTTTTACATTAAATCCCCTGTAGCATATTGATGAGGTGGGTTAAATCAACAGATGCCCCGGTATATTTTGGTGATCTTACACATACTTACAAATATTGAAAATCGTACATCATAATTGCAAATGTTAATTTATTTTTGTTTCATGATTTTTTATTAGTTAACGAGTTTCAAATTGCGTATTGAAATTTGAAACACATACCTTACTCATCAGCCATTTCTTCAGATGTACAGGTTAGTTTTTCTTTTTTTATGTATCATATTATTTGGATGTTATCCTATGAAAAGTACCTATATATCCCCACAATAATAAGAAGACAAATAACCAATAAGATATAATATTTATGTATGCAGAGGCTATTCAATTTTGACAGTGCGTTCTTATTCACACTAACAACTAATTGGTACAACAATTATTTTTGAAAACGTACCTTTGGTATTAAAAATCAGAATGACCACGTCATGTAAGTTAGATATACGAGTACATCATTTTAAATTTACAAACCATATGTATAATAATAATAAGTTATTTTAAAAACACAGTCTCTAACATATTATATACTAGGTAGGTACTATCATTAAATATTAAATCATATTACGAATTAGGGATTTTTTACGGCTTTATTTTTTAATTTTTCATTTAGAACATGATTATTAATTATGCTCACTTGAATCTTAGTACTTAAGATAAATTAATACTAATTATATTATATTATATTTTACTAACTTAATACTCTTCTCCTAGCGTACGTTTTAGACATTTTCAGCACGAACGAGTTACTCACTCAGAGAATTGAGCGCATGTTTATTTAAGTTTATAAAAAATAATTAAAGATCGGTGTGATTTAGTACTTAAATTTAAAATTATAGCTGAGTCTTCGCAACATACTATATAATACCATAATAATCGATACGTTGTGCTATTAAATCATCGTGCAAATCATTCACTGGCTAACCTTGGATTTATTTTTTTTCATTATGATTCAAAGTTATGCACAATGTACCTACCTATAGTATACAACATAAAACGTACAAAAAGCGTTTGTGATGAAAGTAATGTTTTCTTGCTAATTAGGTACACGAGAACAAAGTCGCTTGTTGACGACACTTTCAACAAGGGAGGAAATATAATATATGCACGTGCACAACATATATATATAAATTTGTTTAAAAGGTCACGACACAGGGGTCTTTAAGGTGAAGGGATTTCGGTCGACTACGGTATATAAAAAAAAAACAACAAAAAACTATCGCATTGACATTTCCCCACACGACCAACGTCGTCCATACATGATTATTAGAAGATTGAAATATGTAAATCAGAGTTAACCTGTTTACCTGTTTACCTATATAGTATATAATTAAAGCAACAATGCTAATAATTTTTTTTTTCTCTACGATCCGCTATGTACGTATAACAGTACCTACTAATTATTTGTTTAATTCAATACGCCCAGGTATGGCGTAATAGGTAATTCGGATATTCACACACGATTTGTAATAATATTAAAACCATCTCCAGGCCTATCGAAGTCACTATACGTATATCGTATATGTGTGCATATTTAATACTGCTATAACATCGTGTACGCGTATCTTATGGCCGAGTTAATAGTGCGCTAGAATAAATTTACGGAGAATAAGCGCCACCGGAATAAAAATAACTTTACCGGAAACAAACCGTAGACATTCGCGAACCCTCGTCGTCCCTTAGCTTGCTCTTAAACACGTCGATTAATTTTTACTACTTACGGGTCAATAGCCAACGCTCATAATATAAAGCTGTAAAACCCGATAAGGATGGCGCCACATGTGCGACATCGTCGATCCGCACAACACACTGGTCATAATATTGTTGTTAATTCAAATCCGCGTCCAATGGACGTATCATTATTATTATGCCGATGATATTAGAACCAAATTTCGATTTTGGGCACGACGTCATGTCAGACATTATGTCGTTTCGGTAGGTATACCTACAACGGTAATACGATTTTTTTTTATACGTTTTTATATTAACTGCCTCGGAAACTCGGACAAGAATCTTAGCAACCAAATTGAGGAATCATTCATTCATATCTTATTTTGCCGTTAATCAAAATAAAAACATGTTTAATTGATTATATTTTCACTTAGAAGTCTTAAAAAATTTCAAATATATAAATCAATATGGAATAACTTTAAAGTTATTTTTAAATTCTGATAATTAACCAAATAAATTAATATATGATTTAAACACTCAAATGTTTCACATTTTGTCTCACATGATAGTATGGGTTTGACAAATGGACAAAATATAATTAAAGAATAACTCCATTACATGACGGGATGCCGGGATGGCAGGACAAGCCTTCTTGGCTTCATATATGCCTTAATTATAAGAAATAATTTGTTGTGTCATGTTGTTTGTGTCAAATGTTAAATATTATTTTGCACAATTCTTACAGTTGTTCTGCGCTGATCGATAGTTGTCCCGAAATCACTTTTTCTATTCTATTGCTTTCGAGGTCTCTGGAAAATATGATGGTAAATAAAATAATTGTATCGTTAACTATTATAGTAATTTGACATAGCTCGAGATACTTACACTATGCGAAGATGTTCGTTGGTCCTCAACAAACTTAGGTTCGGCGGTTTCTTGATTCCCGTTCGCACGATTTCCCTATTTAAAGGTAAAAATCAAATTAATTTAATACTTATTTAATATACCAATCGTTTGTGAATGGTATATTTTATTATTTATAATATTATAACAATGGATGTAGTTGTATATGTTTTTCTTTTTACTATCAATATTTCTAGAATAGTTGACAAGATAAACGAATATTTAAATTAAATTATTAAATTTTATCCTAAAAGCTAATTATCCTCATAACTGATAACTGAAATAATAAAGTCAAATAATTGTTCAATGTTACTTATTATGTGTTGTAGGTAGGTATTTCATTTACGCGTAGGTATAAAAAACATTTTTAGAAAAGTATTTTAGGAAATTAAAAAATATGGATTTTATAATAATGTTTGTTATTAAAAATTAAAAATAACTAACCGACCCACGTGATAAGAAAATTGCAATAAATGTAATGTTGAAAAAAATGTATAAATATAACTACCAACAGTTGTCTGCGTATAGATATAAAAATGTATTGAAATAGTTCAAAAATAGTGTCTTACAAATTAGTGTTATAAAAATCGATATATGTATAAGTTAAAAATGTTTTTATTGGTGATTTTATAGTTTTAATGAACAGAGCGTTCTGCAATTACTGTTGGATTCATAGTTTCAACAATAGTTGAAGAAACTAATTAATTTTCTTTATTTTTCTAGTTTTATTGAACTTAGATGACATACTCGTATATTGACCAACGGAGTAATAATGAATAGGGCTTCAAACTGAAATAACTCTGTGCTAATAGACTTCTGTAAAATCCATTTGATTAATGTATTCAAAACAACATTTTAAAATATTTATACATTACAAAAAACATGAAAACCTATCAACCATCTATGTTACTTACTACCTTTATCTTAGTAAATACCCGATGAATTATAATTGATTAAATATCCATCATCCCATCAAAATAGGTTACTAGAAAACTAAATACTCCTAAAAATTAAATTGTGTTTGAGTGTCACAGTTATTTATTTGAAAACAATACACATTTTTGAAATTCGATGGACTAAAATCTTGATTTTACATATAGTTTGTTGTTACAATTGGAGTGTGGTTACCAATTATATTGTAATTGACTGGATATTAATAATTACATTTACAGTATTGTAAAATATTGCTTTTTCACTTAGGTAAAAATCAGAATTTTATGCTAAAGTTAAAAAAAAAATTGTCTCCTGTAATCTATATTGTATTAACTATTGAGAAATAATATCTATCTGCAAAGACTAGAATAGTACATATTATGATAAGTAGGCAAGAGGTAAACAACTTTTTAGAAAAAATAAATCTATTATATGGTTGTAAACAAAACCCAAGTTTACAGCAATAATAATATACAAATCTAGGATCTGAATTTTCTCCACACTGCAGTTTTTCCCAGAATTCGGGTATTTTCAGTAATGGATTACTAAAAAAAACCCAGAGTATACTCCATGTTTTACGCAGATATAGGTGGTAATGGTAGAAACTCTGTTTAAAGTCAAAACAATTTTTTAAGGTGAAACCTAAAATAATATTGTTTTTTGTGTCCAATATTATTCAAATCAGATACACACGTAGTTGTTATGGTAAAAAATCGTTTTTGGATATTTCTTGTTGTATTTTTCCAAAAATAAGTCATGAACGTTGTCCGTCTACATGACTTTTATAAGATCAATTTTGATCGTTTGAGACTAAAAATGAGGATTTTTCACACATTATTATTTTTAAAAGTATAAGAACAATACTATGATATGAATCACTCGCACACAGAAACATACACACAGTACACACGCCCACACACTCATAAGTATAATATTATTTATGATAATTACATACATATTATGACCAGTGTTGGAAATAGATAACTAATAATTTATCTAGACAAAGATAAAGATAAAAGATAAATAATTTTTATCTAGATAACTTATCTAGATAAATTTATCTAGATATTTCCCAACACTGAATTTATGACAAGAATAACGAATTAAAAAATACTCAGAAATAATAAATGTATTGGTTATTTTTTTTAGTGTTTTGTTTAAAATTACTATCGAAAACCACCTGATATCTATTATTTGTGCCGTCGGAAAAATTAAAACTGCAAATAATTATAGAATATTTTGTTTATATCACTGTAAAATAATAATAGGTATAAACAGGACCGTATAGGTACCATCGTACTTTTATTGAGTTTAGGTTTGCGCTAAAAACTAAACGAGAGAAGTGAATATTCCCTCACCCTTTCAAAATACAACTACTGAGTGTTTCTTTAATAATAAATTTAATTAAATATAGTACAGTCATAATATTAAAGTTGTATATAAAATATTTGAATGATTGCAATAGTTGTAAAATTTATCGAAAATATGTTTTGTGAGTATACCCATTGCCCCAACTTTAAAATTACACATAAATACAACTTATTATTATTATATGAAATGTGCACAAACAATAGTCATGAGTCATCGCAAAATAAATTAATGTCATTCGCGTATGTATAATATTGGATAGAAGTGCAGGATATAGGACAATCACAATATAAACTAGAAATAATTCAAACTTTTTAAAACTTTTTCTACAATAAATAAGTTGTGTTGTTGAAGTTAAATTCGCTCAATTTTAAAATGAAGTTACTTATACTTTATTCATATATTTGAATTGGTCTTTATATACGTGTCATGTATTCAAAATAAGTCAAAGACGCGAAAAAACTCGTATAAATAAATATGTATTATTAAAAAAGAGGAAAAATCTATAAATATTTTATTCAGATGGTATTTGTGAAAATAAATTTGATTGTTATATGATATGAACTTACGAAAAATATATTTTCTGTTTGTAATTTCAATCAAAAATAACCGTGGAACCTATACTCCGTTTTATAGTGAGTTTCGAGTGTATATCAACCTAGACCTTGCGATATTCTAGCCCCTCCACTGGACACAGCAATGAATCTGTTAAATTCGAATTTAATTATAAATCATTGCACACGAAAAACGATTTTGAACGGAAACTGTGTGTCGACCTTTGTAACTAATTTGTTTATGAATAATATAGTATGTTTTTTTCGATACCATAATATATTATGGCAAAACTTTTTCATATCCAATACACATAATAACCAAAACCGTTGTGCAAAAAATAGTCATTTTTCATTCAAATATAAAATTTCTTCAAAATTCATATGAATTCAAATTCTTCAGATGTCTATTATTAAATTTGTGCATATAATATAATATGCAGAAACCCGATGTTGCGTAAAAATTCTAGTGGTTTTAGTAATTTTTTTTAGTTTTTCCAGAAAAGTACTGAGAATTTTTCATTTTCGAAACATCTACTATATATAGATCCAATTATTACTACCAGCTGATACCACCCGCAATTTCGAAGTTAGAAGCAATTATTGTTTTGTTCCAAAACTTGACTTTTATGACAAAATCAAAAATAATCACTCATTGTAAAACCAATACATTCTTTGTTCTACTCAAAATGTAAAAGATATTAATTTTTAATGATGACTTTGGAATGGATTTGTGTTGAATTAAAAATAATAACATTTAGTATAAAAGCAAAACTATAACAATAATATAATATTTTTTTTGGATTAAGGCTTCAACTACTAAGGTCATTAGCCTGGTACTGTGTGTTGGGGGGGGGGGGAGTGATTGGTTGAAAAAACGTTTGTATGTGTGGCAAAGGTGTATTGCTAAAAACCCGGATGGTCACCCATCCGAGAGCTAGCAACGACGACCGGTACGAACTCTCAAAGCGTTGCCGCAGATTGAGCGTACAACCGCGCCTCACCAAGCCACAATATATTACATAATTATAGTCAATTTCAAATAATACTGAGTAGTTATGTGAGTGTATTTTTAAAGAATTATTGTGACATTTTAATGTACATATTATTACTATACAGTATTACGCTATTACTCCGTATATTATTAAAGCAGGTTGCGTGACTGAAATTATATTATGTTGACATTTTAAAATGTGCACAGTCACATTAAGCTAATTATTCAGGAAAAAATCATTCAATGATTTAGAGTTCTGTGATACTGATTAAATTATTAATTTAATTAATTTCAAACAACACGAAAAAACAATGTGTGTATTTATTTAAAATTAATACAAATTAATTAATTTAGAAAAAAAAATTAATTTGCTTTCATAACCATTTACTTTTGCAATAGTTAATACACAAAAGCAAGTCGATTGAATATAAAATAGTATTTCAGTTATTATTTACAAATGTTTTAGAATACAAAAAAATTACTTGTGTTTATACCTCAACCAGGAGCATGTTTAAACAACATTTGATATTATGCTTTTATGAAAACATCGTCATACCACATTTTTTTACTAATAATTGTGTATTATTATGAAAATTACACTTGATTATCATCAACATTTCTATAACTGATTTGCAAGACTATTTTATACATTTCTAAAAACATTTACAATAATTTGTGCATTACATTCATCAAATGACTATTTTGATTACGAAATTTGCTCTTTGACATATTATTCACTTTTGCATATGACATAATCTCGATGACTGGTACCTGTTAAATATCATCGCGAGTTTGATATCTTGAATATTATCTTAATTTTAATGTTGTATGTTTATTAAAGCACATTTGAATCTGAACTTGATTGGAAAAAGTCATTATGCTTAGCATTACACATGTCACATAATATTATCAAGGTTATTTGGTGAACATATTATACATATCTACACTTTCGGCGGCCATCGAGGATTTCAGGTCAGCTTGAAAGTATTATGATAGCGCTGTAAAATGTTGCTATGGAATAGATCTTTCCTGCAGGGCAGAATACCTGAGGTTGCAATTTACTTACTAATAAACTCTATTATTTCACCGCATTATCATCTGGATTATAATTGAGTTAAATAGATACTGACAAAATCTAAGTATAAGTCGCTTTTATTTTAAAAAGTTCTTCTCGTCAATTCTCTTAACTAATTACGAAAAACACTAACACC